GATGTCCACAGTGGTTTTGTATTCTGTGTATAGAAGAAAGAATCCTATTTAATGATTTTTGTATCACTTTCTGCCTGGAATGTGCACTTTCAGAAACCTGTGCTTCAACATACCACTGTTCAAGGTGGCAGCTCACCATCATGTTCTTGAGGGAAACTGGGGATGAGCAATAAATGCAGGCCCAGCCAGTGACACCCACATCCCATGAATGATTTAAAAGAAAGGAGATTTCTGTACATTTCACTGGAGCTGCCAGTTTAACAAAAATTGCATTTCTCACTGGTTGCATCCCGTAGCATCTTTAATAAAGCTATGTTTCCTATAGTATGCTATGTTTTCATTTTTGTAGCAAGCATTTCATGTGGCATCTTATCAAAACACTATCTAACACTCCATAGTTACATCATCCACCATAATATGTTAATGCAGCCTGCAATTTCCTTGCAAAATTCAATTAATTGAGCATGATGTACCCTTGAGACATCATATTGATTGTTCTACAGTCGTAGAGTTCTACATTATAAAAAATGGCCCTTTGGCCCATTGCATCCACACTGTTCAAAAACAGCTACCTAACCATTCTAATCCCATTTTGCAACACTTGGCCCATAATTTTGTGTGCCTTGGCATCACAAGTGCACAACTAAATAATAACTTAAATGTGATGAGGATTTCTGCTTCTCCCACCCTTTCAAACAGTAAGTTCCAGATTCCCACCATTCTCTGGAGGAAGAAAAATTTTCCTCATATCTCCTATAAACTTTCTGCCCCTGACCTTAAATCCATGTTCCCTGGTCATTGATCACTCCACCAAGGGGAAAAGTCTCTTTCTGTCTACCCTATCTATGCCCTCATCATTTTATATAATTCAACCATATCCCTTCTCAATGTCCTCTGTTCTTGACTATTTCGTATTTCGAAAGGTAACTGATATCATTCCTTCTTATGATCTCTTGAAAGTGACTGGCAATCAGAGTAAGACTCAGCATTATTATCCTTTCCCTATTTCTAAACAGCTTGCGACATTTGCCAACCTGCAAAAGACCTTTGGGAAAATTACTAGTTGATGCTTTTGCTCTCCTCTTCTGAACACTTCCCAAATAGTGAGCAAATACTAAACTGCACTAAAATTCAAGATTAGTGCTTTAGCAAAGTTTCTGTAAAGTTCTGAGGAAGGGTCACCGGACCTGAAACATTAACTCCTGATTTCTCCTCACAGATGCTATCAGATCTGCTGAATTTTTCCAGGAACTTTCTGTTTTTGTTTCTGATTTACCGCATCTGCAGTTCTGTTGGTTTTTATAAAGCTTCTGTAATCTCCCTCAATTTCCAGATATTATTTTGAAATCCAGTGCCATGTTCTATAAAGTATATTGGATCATGCCTTTATTATTCTGCCTGGAATTGACACAATAATCTATTCAGATTCAAAATGCATCTATAACTGGTGCAATAATATATTATCTAACTAATGTACTTTAAATGCAGTACCAAGAATTGTAGGCTCGAAGTCTGAAACACCTTTCCACTTCTGACTCTTCAATCCACTCGCTTGCCATTTCTGCATCGTAGGCACTATGTAAATGCAAGTTGTTGTAATTATGAGAGATTGTTTTATGTCAGAAGCAGAACTCTCACAATATTGATCGTGCTGTTGTTAAATAACACTTGATTCTTGACATATTGTCCTTTTTATAGACGATGCGTTAGAACCAGAGACTATCGCGTTTCTTGACTAAACAGACTTCAATTTAAAAGTGAATTCAGATGTAAGCTTTTTAATATGCCATTCAATTTGTCTAATGTTCAGGAAGTTGCATAAGTTAATTGAGGAGCAATGAGTGAAAGAGTTGCTTATTAGGATATCTGTGGTTTGCGTATTTCAAAATTCCCAGGGATATGTTATTTTGTCCCTTCACTTCGAGTTAATTCTAATTAAAATTCTGGATTTCCAACATCACTTTTTTTTTTAAAAATACACTGTTACATGAAAAGTGCGTCCTTTTTAAAAAAAAGTCTATTGAGCTATGGGTGGTGCCGATATACTTTGCTTTCAATTTCCTGTGAAGTAGGTATTGTGACGCAATATCTCAGTCCACACAGTATCCGGGCAGTAAGCTATTGTTCTGAGATTGATAACTACCATGTTGGCTCAGCCATTGATCCTGTGTTCGAGAATTTCCCAGGTTTGCCTTGCCCAGGCTCAGCTGGTACACTGGCCGAAGCCATTAAATGGTTTGATAATTAGAAGAGCACACCTGCCTTACCAAACTTGCCCAGTTCCTCTATCTTCCTGTACTGTTTTAATATGCGTATGACTCATAGCAGCAGAACTTTCCATTACATTTAATTGTATGAGGGAATTTGGTTGTGCTGCGGGCACGTTCAGTTCCTTTTGTTTAAGTTTTTTTTGAAGAAATAACCAGTTGATAGGATGATGCTTAGTCAATTAGAATTTAGATATGGCTATGTAGTATGTAGCTTCACTCATGTTCCGGGCTGGCTCACACCTTTTGAAAGTAGCTGCCCACCAACTATTGTCATTAAGCATGGTTATTAAAAGAGGTGGTTGTTGTTGTTATAGAGTCATACAGCATGGAAACAGGCCATTCGGCCCAATCGGTCCACTCTGACCATGTTCCCAAACTAAACTGGATCCACCTGCCTGCGCTTAGCCCATATCCCTACAAATCTTTCCTATTTGTGAACTTATCCAAATGTCTTTTAAACATGTAACTGTACCTGCATCTATCACTTTTTCTCTGGCAGTTCATTCCACACACAAACCACTCTGTGTGTAAAAAAAAAAAAAAAAATTTGCTCCTCATGTCCTTTTTAAATCTTTCTCCTCTCACCTTAAAAAATGCCCCCTAGTTTTGAACTCCTCCACCTTAGGGAAAAGACCTTTGCTATTCACCTTATCTATGCTCTTCATCTCTATTAGGTCACTCCTTAACCTCCGACGCTCCAGTGAAAAAAGTCTCAGCCTTTCCAGTCTATTATTTTTTTTATCTCAAGTCCTCTATTCACGGCAACATCCTGGTAAATCTTTTTCGAACCCTTTCCTGTTTAATAATATAATTCCTATAACTGGACTACCAATATTGCACACAGTAGTCCAGAAGAGGCTTCGCCAATGCTCTATACAACCTCAACATGATGTTCCAACTCCTATACTCAAAGGTCTGAGCAAAGAAGGCAAGCATGCTTAATGCCTTCTTAATCACCATGTCTACCAGTGATGCAAATTTCAAAGAATTATTGTTGTTGATGTTGTCTTTCAGCAGATAGGATGGTGAGAGTGGACTCAGAAGTGAGTGAAAGGGGGGGTTTTATAGGATAACTGTAATTTACAAATTGCTCCCTTGTTTAAGGAATTTTTTTTTTGTGTTATAACAAAAATAACCAGGATTGGGAAAAGCAGTGGCCAAGAAATCTGATGGTACCGTGTCAGTTTTACATAGTAAAGAATATGACAACATAAGAACTAGGAGCTGGAGTAGATCATAAGGTCCACCAAACCTACTTTGCCATTGAATGAAATCATGTGACTTTTGACCTAAACTTCACAATTTCCAACCCAATCCCCATATCCCTTCATTCCTTTAGAGCCCCCCAAAAAATCTATTATCTCAACCGTGTATATATCCAAGCATTCAATGAGCATTTTAAACCCTCTAATTAAGAAATTTCAAATAGAATTATCTAAGTGTAAGATAATGCCAGATGTGTGCCATCTGCAATCTCAGTAACGATACAGTCTGAGTTTGAGCTTGGTATAGGTGTCATACTTTTTGCTAATACATGTTTTAGGCCCCCTTTGCAACATTGGGCTACCCAAAATGCAGCTGGCCCTCAGCAAAATAATTTCCAAGCCAGTTAAGGCACTAGACGTTGGATACTTTACATGAGAAAAGTGTTATAACCACTTTTATATAACCACTGTTAAAAACCTTCTGATATAAAGAAGGCATAATGCCAAGTTTTTGAAAATTCATTCGTGAGGTTTGGAGAGCATTGGCTATGTCAGCATTTAGTGCCCATCTCTGGTTGCCCTTGAGAAGCTGGTGTTGAGCCGTACCAGTCTATTTGCTGTAGGTAGACCCACAATGTTGTTTGGGGGTACTAATTGTGTAAGAATGGTCTGTCTTCATTTACTCCATGAAGTTTTTATGATCTCTACGTGACCTTGCTCTTTCCTATCTCTGTAGTCTCTTCCATCCTCACAATCCTAAAATATTGGTCCTTCTACAAATCTGGCCTATTGAGCATCCCCAATTTTAATCTCTCCACAATTGACAGCTGTGCCTTCAGCTGCCTGGACCCTAAGCTCTGGAATTTCCCCACCCCTCCTCAGCTTTTACACCTCACTAGCTCTCTTGGCTTCTTTAAGATGCTCCTTAAAACCTACCTCTGCAACCAAGTTTTTGATCATGTAACCTAATGTCTACTGATGTGACTGAGTAAGATATTTTATTCCACAAATATCCTGTGAAACACCTTGGAATATTTTATTGCGTCAAATGTATACAGATCTTCTGATATCAGTATAAGTTGGTTTTGCTGCATTGCCTGAAAGCATATTCAATATTAGGTTTCAAAAACAAATTGGTTACATATTGAGAAAGGAAGCAACACAGGGCCTCTGGGATGGAACAGAAGAGTGGGACCAATGGGTATATCTTTATAGTGTTAGCGCTGGCATGGTTAGCCAAATGTTCTTTTTTTTTAAAACAGTTTAGTACAACCGAGAAATGTGTGCTTTCTCAAACTTGTTGCTAATGAGACATTTATCAATTGGCAAGGCTGAATGGAAAACATGCAATTTACCAAAATTGTTTTTTCTTTTGACTGGTTTCTTTTACCAGTCAACAACTGTGAATGGTTGAAATAATTACTAATAACAATTCTGTGGCTCTTTACTGAACTAGCTTCAGAAATTTCTGTAGTGAAAGGAAATCAATTAATTTACAATTGTGACTGAATCCATTCTTTTTCAGTAAACACACAATCGGGAGTCACAAATATGTTCAGTTTTGCCGTAAGTTTGACGTGGATATTAAACTCTACCTGATGGAGCTGAAGGCAGTTCGCAAGGACTTGATGCGCACGGTAAGCAATTCTAAAGTTCCAAAGACATAGTAAGAACTGTTGATGCTGGAGTCAGAGATAACACAGTGTGGAGCTGTAGGAACACAGCAGGCCAGGCGGCATCAGAGGAGCAGGAAAGCTGACGTTTCGGATCGGGACCCTTCTTCAGAAATGGGGGAGGGGAAGGGGGCTCTGAAATAAATAGAGAGGAGGGGTGGTGATAGCAGGTAGACAGTGGAGTGGATAGGTGGGAAAGAAGACGGACAGGTCAAGGAGGCGGGGATGAAGCTAGTAAAGGTGAGTGTAAATAGATAGTGGTGGGGATTGGTCAATGAGGTGGGAGAGAAGACGGATAGGTCAATGAGGCGGGTTGAGGGGGGGGCTGGTCTTGGGATGAGGTCGGGGGTGGGGAGATTTTGACCTGTCCGTCTTCTCTCGCACCTATCTGCTCCACTATCTACCTGCTATCACCACCCACCCCTCTCTATGTATTTCAGAGCCCCCTTCCCCTCCCCCATTTCTGAAGAAGTGTCCTGACCCGAAACGTCAGCTTTCCTGCTCCTCTGATGCTCCCTGGCCTGCTGTGTTCCTGCAGCTCCACACTGTGTCATCTGAAGTTCCAAATACTTATTCCTTCCAGAAGTTTTCTTAAGATCAAAGTTTAAAGTATGTGTTGGTGAATTCAATGCTCTTTAGCCAAGTTATTGGCTAGATTGACGCGAATGAGGTTTAAATGTACCACCCATGTCTCAATAATGACCTCAAGTTAAATATTTGTGTGGTTTTTCAACACCAAGGGAAAGCTTTCAAGTTTATCTTTGTTAAAGGTGGACAGTTCAATCTGTCTCAATTGGAAAAGTGTTTGTTAATTGAACATTAACTCTCCATGGAATTTAGAAATTGGCTGTCAGAAAGTGGGTAGCTGTGAATTCATATAAAGTAACCAAAGAACTGTGGATGCAGGAAATTAGAAACAAAACCAGAAATTACTGCAAAAATTCAGGTCAGGCAGCATCTGTGGAGAGAAAGCAAAGTTAACGTTTTGGGTCCAGTGTCATACTGTGTAGTAAGTGCTTCAGCTGGAGAGGATTAACACTAGGAGTGCATAATTTATTTGCGTTATCAGACT